GATTTGTATCCTCCTTCAACTTTCAAAAGAAGGTAAGAGGTAAAAGTTGTTCTGCCAGCTACCAAATGGAAATAGACCCTCCAGGTAATGACCATAAGATGCTGGTATCTCTAAATCAGAATCTAATCTTGGTGCTTCATCAGTATGTGATGCCAACCCCACTCCAGGCTATTTAGCAACTGGCATACTATGAATCATACTTTTCCAAAGGTAACCCACCAGTTGGTTGAAACATTTGGACTCACAAATCCAGCTATCCCACAACATAACTAACTACAAAGCCTCACCTGCTCTGAAATACTGCAGGGAATTGGTGTTTGTCAAAGTGAGGATTAAAGGACTCCAAGACCACCATAGGAAATATAATGCAAATAAACAAGACAGAGGACTTCAAACTGATTGAATTAATCTTTGTCATATTTGATTCAATAAAGCTTCCACTTCTGAAATTACCTCAAGCTGCTGGAGAATTTCCAATTTATCACAGAACTTGGCATCAAAATGATACCAACAACAGAAAAACATAGTTAAGTATTCTTACCCCATCTATACCTCAATTATCTTTTCTCCTTTCTAGCATCAATTAATCAAAGTAGAAAAATCAAATCTCACTTTGCAGCACCTGCGCTTCCCAAAAGATAATTTCAGATGTATTACAGATGTGCATTACCATTTCATTACAGTCTGGTTGTGTTTTAACCTAAGAACTATTCCTTCTCAAACAGAAGGAAGCAGAGAAGACCTTTTACTAACAAATATACTTCAGACAGATGTGACTTGCAGTCCTTTATAAAATATTCCCTCCTCCCAGAAAAAATAAAATAAAATAAAGAGAAGCAACCCCATATAGATTACAAACGGAAATGGGTTTCAATGGCATTTATGTTGTTGTTATTGATTGACATAGTAAAAATGAAAATGTGTTCAAAGATGTCTTTATTCTGAACAAACAAGCTTGTAGTAGGTAGACATAAAGGTTGTAGTTGATGTATTATGACTGTACATATTGTAGCTCTCCGTTTACAACCTTCCATCTCTTCTAAGTAAGCTCACGTTTAAAAAAGTATAGGCTTCTATGGCACTTTACCCAGTGGAATCCAAACTGTATGCCCTTTTGTATGTCCCTTTAGGTAAGAACGGACATAATTACACAACTTAGGTTTGCTATTGCCCACACGCTCCCGAGTATCTGTGTTAAAGTTGACTACATCTAGACTGGGGTCTGTATGAAAACGTATTTCTGCCTTGCTTCAAGATCAACAGATAAACCAAGTGCTGCAGCTTTAGGTGCAGGAATATGTTTTAGGGTTGTTCTCTCTTGTTTTGAGTAGTGTCTTCCAAGGCTAAAGAGCCAAAAAGATAAATTCTCACAATAAGCCCTTGCTCTCCCTCACTCTGATGGGGACGTTGCATCTTCATATTCCCTTTCTTCTGTAACTCTTGCTTCATCGTGACAACTCACTTCATCTTTTGCAGGATGAAGCACCTATTTGCCCTCATATAGTTATTTTATACCCCTCTGCTCTTCCCCTTACCATTAAAATGTCAAGCAGACCATCCATTTGCCGATGTAATAGGCTTTTACAGCTAAGGGAAGGTGAGTGCCAGGGATTATTAATAGTGTTCCTTGATTAGTTAAGGGAAAGATAAATGTGACACCGCCACCAAAATCCCTGAATATCTGATACCAGTGAGGAGTGGGTATCACCGGCCGAAAATAGAAAGCACAAGAGAGATTATATAAGTGGGGCTCCCACCCCGAGATTCACCTTTCCTTGACTGTCTCCCAATCTAACATTTTCCAGCGTGCTTCAGAGACATCCAAAAGGTAAGTAGCAAGAAATGTTAACACTGCCACTGCAAGCGTGGATTCATCCGCTCCTAGAGGAAACCCAGAAATTTCGCCTGAAGGAAAAAGGAAAAAAATAGATACGCGATTCCTCCAACACTCCGACCCGTCCCTCTTCCCACAAATAAAAGTCGAGAGAGACAAAGAGGTGCGAATCTTCAAAACACAGAGGAAAGGCTTCCCGCGGAGAAGACTTCAAGAGAGAAGAAAGGGCCGTGTAAAAGGAGGAAATAGCTGAACATATTGAGAGATAATAAGGAGAAGAAAAGGGGGAAAGTGAGAAAATGGAAATGAGAAAATAAGGGATAAGACAAAGTGGAAAAAAAGTCGTGAGCAAAGATTTGGTAAACTGAATTTACGGGAATGCTTGGTAGTAAACCAAAATCAAACCTGCCCCAGAAGTTAAATGCTTGTTTATGCACAGATGATGGTAAGCGATGAGATCTAGTTGTTCTCCTTGGCGTGGTCACCAGTTGTATACAGGAATGTGTTTTCCTTTTTGCAAAGGTCTCCCGGGTTTCTGCTTGTCTGCAATGGCAGCTTCAGGGTTTGGTGTGGGGGCTTCTTGCTGTTCATCAGGTTCTCCATCCACCGTTTGCTTTTGACAGCAGTGGTTTGATCTCCATTTAGTTTATTTGGTTGTTTACTTAGTGAGAATATCATTCTGTCGCTAGCCGGAGGAGGAGCTGATCTACCCGAAAGCTTCTTTGCAGTAAACTTGGAAATCCACGATATAGATTTTGCAAAGAGTTCGGGCAGTAAATTTGGCAAAATCTCAGAAATAAAGAAAAACACATCATCCTTCTCTGAAAGATGATGAGAAAAGGGTGACGGGCGGTGTGTGAACTTGCCAATTCGTGAAATGCTGTTTTTATTAGAATAACATAATATTTTTAAATAAAGTTTTGACTAAGAGCTTCTAGAAGTTTGCTAACTGTCCTTAAAAAAGGATGATTATAGCTCTGAGATTATAGCTCGGACTCTGCAGTCTCTGCACTTTTGATCCAAACTGTCGTGGCTTTCAGTTTTCTGCTTCTGATCAGCACAGCCTCTCGACTTCTGAATCTGGGACATTAAATTAGGAGAAATGTTATTTATATCATACAAATGACCCCACTTAACCTTGAAACCTTGTTCGCAACTGTTTCCTCTCATTTTACACCTTCACAAGTTTAGGCCTTAGCGGCCTGAAATCCGGATTAAGGGGGAAAGTGCTGGGGAGGAGGCGGGGGAGGCATCGTTAGGGATGCGAGGGAGCTCCCGGGCTCCCGTTCCTGAGACACGAGCAGTGAACGAGCTTCAAACGCCACTTAACAACCCGCCTCTGGCTGCTTTGCTTGGCCTGAGGCTACCTAACCGGATTCCTGCCTGTGCATCAGCTCGGCCAGCTACGGGCTTGGGTTACGCGGGAGGGCAGCCCTCCAAACGTGCTCCTGCCTCGTCAGCAGAGCGGAGCTGGCTCCGAAACGCGAGTCATCCTCCTCAAAATCATCTTCACTCGCTGGGAATCAGGGACCTGCCTGCTGGCAGGGCCATACTAAGAGGCTTTGTGGCTGCAAGTGCAGGACAACCCTGCAATGAGTTTGCCAAGGCTTGTACGAAAGAGAAGAAACTGCGGTGAGGGAGGCCCAGCTCCTCTGTGGATTGCACCTCTGCTGCCTTGAGCGGGGAAGGAAAGTATGTGGATGTCATATTAGACCGGTGACTTCTCTACTGGAAACAAGAAGGGACTTTTGCTTCTTCTCACACTTAAAAAATAAGGAGACGCCAATTACAGAACACTATGCATCAGGCACGTTTATTTTTCTTGTAAATAGCTGCATTTTCAACTTCATTCTCCAAAGAGAGCTCCGCCTGAAGCAAGGGACCCGAATAGTGTCTTCATTGCACCCTGTCACCTCCCCTCTCCGAAAAAGAAAAAGAAAAAAACCACGAGGAGCAGCTGAGAGACAGGTATCTGTGTCGGAGACCGAGCAAAGCTCTTCTGCGGGGCTGCAGCTCGTCTTAGACAAGCATCCTGCTGCCCGAGCAGCTCCTCTTCTGCTGAAGATGAGGGGAAGGCGCCTTCAAACTACAAAGATGATCTCGGCTCCCGTATCCGTCACCGTTGTTTGTCCTTGGAGAAAACAAAGCCTCTCGCCTATCTCGGGAAATACAGGAACACGGAGATGAGGTGGAAAAAAATTCCAGGGGGAGAAAAACGACAGTCCCTCCCACAGCGCAGAGTCGCCTTTTTTCTTTTTTTTTAAGACCCCAATGTCACCTCCTCCTCCGTCCTTCTGTGCTCAGTGGCACGTTAATGACCCACCCGTTATAGCTGAACATGGGCCACGAGGAAGGTGGCGCAGAGGGGAGGCTCGCACTTTGAAGGAGCGCTGAGGAATCATCGAAAGAGCAAATTGAGGGGGTTTTGGCTTTTTTCCCCCCTTCTTTTCTATTTTTTCAGCTGCCTCCTACTTTTTTTTTTTTTTTTTTTTTTTTTTTTTTTTTTGTGGTTTTTTTCCAGCCTCTCTCGGGACAACGGTGCAATTGCATCAGCGGGAAGGAGCGGCGGTCCCGGGCTGCATCTGCTGATGCCAGTGTAGGGATCCTGCAGCCCCCGCGCTTCCTTCCCCCGCCTTTCCTTACCTGGAGATGCCAATATTCCTGCGGAGATTTGCCCTACTACTGGGCCCTAGCATTGGCTACCTCAACCTAATGGCTCCTGCCCAAACTTGGAACATAAGTTGGACTAGCTGCTGTATTTTATATGAAAGAAAAAAGGGCACGGTTTCTCAGAGAAGACAAACCTAGAAAATCCATCCGAATTCCTAAAGGTTTTGTCGGCTCTTTTGACAGTTTTGGGCAGCGCCCAGTGCCGGCTAAGGGCCCGACCACTGCACAAGAACCACCTTTAAGCGTGCCGTCACCTCGCATCTCCTTTCACCGTATTATATCATGCAATATTCTGCAGCATATTGTGCATTACAAATGGGATCCGTAGGATTCGCAGGGATGTGTTAATTAATTCAGTGAGGATGATGCTTAATATGGACTGGCCCCAAAGAAACAAGGTCTGAAAGGAGTGTGTCTGTGGAGGGGGGGTAAGAAGGGGGACACGTCTGAAGTGTCTGAACGTTAAGATAAACGCTTAAAAACTACTTTTGCTTCCTGGCCTCGAAAGCGGCTTGAAGCTTGGCATATGCTGCAGTTCTCTACTCCTCAGCGAACGTAGCTGGTAAAGAAGGTCTTGACTTCCTAAAACGAAGAGGATCTGCCGTGCACAACTAGCCCTTGCACCGCACCTGCGGACTTGACCTTGGCGCAGCTCCCTTCCTCCCGTCGGTCACAACAGCCCCTGGCACCGCTCCAGCCTTCCCGGGGCTGCCCCCCACTCGCATCCTCCCCTCAGATGGGCGCCCGCTGCTCTCCGCGGCTCCTCCCGGGGACCGAGCGGCGCCCGGCGAGGCGCAGAGGGGCAGGCCGGAGGGCCGGGCCGCGCC